GAATAACACAAATGGATTGAAATATTTAATTAAATTAGCTCAAAATAAACCTTCATTTTGGTGCAATATTGAAATTAGCTTGAATTCTTCATAACTCTGAATAGTGGTTGACACAACGGTCACGGTGATCAGTTATTAAATATAAATCAGATAAGAATTTTTTTACCTTCATACTATGTGAATATTATGATCACTAATTCACCCAAGTAAATGCTCACCTTAGATAATATTTTATCTTCAACAGGGTTAATAGCTCTGAATACTTCTTCAGGCATGACCTGTCCCGTCACAATAATACAAAGGTTTTCTGGTTGATAAAATGCCTGATGGTATGCTTTTACCTGAAAAATTTCCCCATGTATTATTTAGTGTCTTCTATATTTATCAACTGAAATGTTTACATATATCTTTGCACAACAGATAATCAAACTAAATTCTCTACTAACTGCCTGATTGTTACATTTTCATTAATAAATTAACTGATCCAAACTTGGCCATAAAACACAGATTTACCTCTAGAAATATCATGAACTTCACTTTATGAGGATTAGAATTTTCTGGATAATTATATCCCAAAAAAACTTAATAAAGAAAAATAGTACATAACAATTTCCTGCTAACATCATATTGCCTAGTGTAATTTTTACTATGTTAGTTTTCAAATAATTTTAATAGTATAAATAACGAATGTAAAAAAAATATATGACTTCACATTTTTTGACATAAGTGCAACTTTTTTCAATGTAAACAGGCCATTTCTAAATCTTCTAAATAACAATGAACATTCCAATCAGCTTTCTTTGAAGATATCTTCTATTAACTTTTATTTAATTGTTCTTGGTCAAAAAATTACTAGCATTATCAGATTCTGCCTTCTTTGCCACCAAGTGAAGGGCTGAAAGGTTGCCACTTTCTTTTTGGGCTGATAGTTTCTATGACTATAATCAACCACTTAAACTGGTGAAATGCAAGGTTGCTCTTCATTGGTTGAACCTGATGATATTCATTATGAGATGATGTGCCATCTATCTCCTGCCTCTCTTGCTCTCCTTCTGGTTGTTTTTAACCCAGATTTGGCAAAAGAATGATTTTCCAGATGTATAAGGCTTGTCATCATTTTTTTATAAGCCTGGGAAGGATCCCAATATTTCTTCTAATTATTGTTCTATTGCTTTGACCAGCTATCTCTGTAAGGTTTTGGGAAGGATCCCAATATTTCTTCTAATTATTGTTCTATTGCTTTGACCAGCTATCTCTGTAAGGTTTTGGGAAGGATCCCAAAATTACTTCTAATTATTGTCCTATTGCTTTGACTAGCTATCTTTGTAAGGTTTTGGGAAGGATCCCAAGATTCCTTCTAATTATTGTCCTGTTGCTTTGACTAGCTATCTCTGTAAGGTTTTGGGAAGGACCCCAAGATTCCTTCTAATTATTGTCCTGTTGCTTTGACTAGCTATCTTTATAAGGTTTTGGGAAGAATCCCAAGATTCCTTCTAACTATTGTCCTATTTCTATGACTAGCTATCTCTATAAGGTTTAGGGGGAATGATTTATGATCATATTTTTTGGTTCCTTGAATCAAACAACCTCCTCTCATCTACCCAATGGGGTTTTTATAGACAGTGCTCCACTGTGGACCTGATTCATCTTGAAACCTCGATCAGGAAAGTTTTCCTCAAGAGAGAGAGAGCATCGTGTATCAAATACGTTTGATCTTGAGAAGGGTTACATGGAGGTTTGGCATTTTACAGGACCTCCATTCCTATGGGTCATATGACCATTTACCCATTTTTATTCATAATTGTTTATTTGACAGGTGTTTCCATTTGAGTTCAACATTACCCTAATTCTTCACACAGTAACATGACGTCCCTCAGAACTGTGTCTTGAATGCCACACTTTTCAGCATTAAGATCAATGCTATCACTGAACAACTTCCTCCTACTGTTGCAAAAAGTTTCTTTGTTGACAACTTTAACATTTCCTGTTGGTCTTCAACTATCTGTAGGCAACACAACCTCTGTGCACAGAAATTCTCATGAGCTCTAGCACACATTCATACACTTATTCTTGAGAAAGCAAACAAAAGGTACTGGAAGTGGAGAGGAAGGGTGGGAGGTAGTTCAGAGAGGTAAGTATCTATTTGAAATACATTTCGAAGTAAGGAAATTGTTAACTTCAGAAATGCTATTATCTGTATGCACTACTAAAAACTAGAATCTCATGTTCAAGATGGTGGAAGGGCTGGTACTAATCAATTACATATATTAGCTCCTTTATGAAATAGCAGGAGACTGGAAAAGCCCATGGGATGTGATAACCACAAAACTGGAGTTTGCCTAGTGAATCAGCACCTAGTGCAAGACCACATCCTTCTCAAGCAGGTAATATTCTCTGCCCAATTGTTTTTGTTTTTTTCATTGTGATAGTAGAGCAAACTATGTCAAGAAAATCCAACATTGGTAGTTATGTGCTGCCAAGGTAAACAGAATGTAAAAATGTGTAGTATGAACAGGGCTTTAGATCATTCCATCTTGGTCGAATACTTATCTAAAACAGATACTATAATGGTGAGTAGTGATACATTGTACAGTTTTGGGCTTCCTTCCTCAAGAAGGACATTGAATTGTTGGAGAAGGCTCAGAGAAGAGCCACTAGAATGATACCAGAGATGGTGGGATTGTCCTAAAGGAAAAACTTAAATACTCTAAACTTGTTTTCTCTGGAGAGGAGAAGGGTCAGAGGAGATTTGATTGAGGTGTTTTCAAGATTATTAAGGGTATTTATCATATAGATCTATCAAACTCTTTTGTGTTTAGCTGTGAAAACAATAGGACAAGGGGGCATAAATTCAAGTTTTGGCAACATAGGAGTCATCTGTAGTTTAGACAGTATTACTTTTCAAACAGGATAGCTGACTTTTGGAACGAGATGTCTTCAATGGTGGTGGAGGCAGAATATTTAACCGAGTTAAAGAAAATATTGGATGAATACATGAGTAGTAAGGGGTGGTTATAGTTGGGGGATAGAAGGAACATCTTGATGGTCTAATAAGCTCCTTTTTATCCATATAAATTTTATGAAATTTTTATGCAAAACATGAAAAGGAAAGAAAAATTATTATTTTTTGCCATGTTTCATGCATAAAAATTAATTAGTTTACTTTTGCTTAAGCACAAAACTACACAATGGGATATTTGTGCTGTGTCTACCTTCGGTATCGAAACCCGGCATTTAGTGTAATAAGCCTTCAGATTCACTACCAAGCCAATGGTGTTGACAAAAATGATATGTGCTTATGCAAGTATGTTCGGACTAAGTAACATTTTATTTGCTTTCATGAATCAGAAATTATTATTAATCACTAATTGATTGTCTTCCAATGAAAACATTTTCATTGAAACGCTAGCTTTAGTGCTCTATAAATCAGTATTTTTTTACCTATTTGTGCGTGAGATATCTTCATTCTTTAATATATTATTATTGTTTTATGTTTTTATCACTAATACAGGCAAGATGAGCACAACAATCTACACAACTGTTCTTTTTTCTATAAAACCAAAATTCTAAAAGTTACGTTCGAGTTGTGTGGGTATTTTGTGGGATTGAGAGTGGATGAGCATAATTATAAGAAGGATAAGACATTTTTTTAACATTTTGTTTCTTGGACAAGAGGTTTTTAAAAAAATTACACACTCCTGGAGCAACATACAATACTTTCTGCTTTATTTATCTAACAAATAATTAAGATATAAAATACCCTAGTCTAATTTCTATAAAATAACTAACATATATAACATCTTACCTTATTATTCTAACAAATAACATACAAAACATGGTACTTTACATCGTAATTACAAAGAAAATGACTTTACAGCACTTAAAAGATTAGTCCTGGTCACATTCTTCTCATTATAGGCAGGATTTTGTTGGAATTCGAAACTTTAACTCTTCAGTTTATTGAGACCCCTACTGTGAGAATGTCATAGCTTCCCTGTATTATTGAGATGAGTGTATTTAGCCTGTTTCACAACCAACATAAGGGTTTTATTGTTGTCACCTGTACACTGAATTTTAAACCATTTGCAAAATATCAGAATAAACTATATATACATATATCAGTTAGACTGTTTTAATTCTAAAGCAACAACAACAGAAGTGTGGGTCTTACTACAAAGTAAAGATTGTAAGAAGGAAAAATATAAAATTCTTATGTGGTACTGGTACTAGTAGTATTACGTACAAATTACACAAGTTTATCATTCTAAATACTGAATCATATTATTATTATTATGAACTAAATACAAAATTATGTTAAATTACTGAACTTAAAACTACAAATTTAAATTCAAAAGAATATAAAAAATCACAAACTCAAAGTCCTAAGCCTAATTCATGTAAAGACCTTGCACTCGCCAGTTGATAGCTTTTAACCCTAACAATCGTGAATCAACTTCTTTCCTAAAAAATATATCTATTTTCAGTTACTATTT